AAAAAAAAAAAAAAGCAGATGCATATAACTAAATAGGAAAATTAACGTACAGCTTCAGGTCATCGTCAATTTCCAGCTTCTTCTGGCAACCAGTGGTCGGATTCGCTATGTTGAACTACAACACATTCAATAACTAAAATGGTTCAATACACATTTCACTTAAAACATGATACACTATCAGGCATAAAGGTAGATAAACACACACACACACACACACACACACACAGAGAGAGAGAGAGAGAAAGATTACCTTCATCTTCGATGAAACGCTGAAGAGGCAGCGATGATGGGGGAATAACTCCGAAACGCTTCTAAACTTAGGGTTTCAGATGAAGGTTATCTAAAATATATATATAGTGGGCGCAGCGGCTAGAGGAGAGGCTCATTTGCAATGGACATTTATTGGGCTTACAGTGGATCCAAGCCTCACGAGAATACAGCCTTTTCTATTTTGGGCTTAATCATTGTGTGGACACGGGTAAATGGCATAAATAATTCCATCAAAAACTATTTCCATGGAAAGAGTGCGTTTGAAAAAATTCCAAATATGGTTCATTATTCAAAAACCATATAAAACTAGTACACCACCCGTGTATTACACGGGTGCTTGTTAAAAATTATTCTTAAATTTTAAAATTAATGAAAAAACTATATTAAATTAGTTTACTTTTTTACAAAAAAAATATATTACTATATATTTTAGAATGATATGTGTTACTTATGACTTACATGTGTTATATTATATTAGTTTTTATAACTTATATCATATAACTACTTGAAATATAAATATATTAGTTGATTAATAATTTTATTTTTCTAATTAATATTAAAAATAATTTTATTATTGTTATAAAGATAAATATAAATGCATTTTTTCTATACATACAATATGGATGTTAAATCGAAGCTCATCAAAAGAAGATTAATTTGATATATTAAATATGTAAAACCGATAAAAAATACAAAAGTTATTAACTTTTAAAATATATATACAATTCAATAGTTATAATAAGGAATGATATTAAAATGCAATTAATACATGTAACATGACCATAAATAATCAACATATTTATGGTAATTCGAACCTAATTATTTTTGGTTTGAATTAAATTAAAATTTACTCAGCCTAATAACGAAGCATGTAATTTTGCCACATAGGATTCCGAAACACCAGAAACAGCCACGTAGGCTCAGCGAGTTCTGAATTAATATAGAGGGGGATAATAACTACTACAATAGAAAGTTAAAAAATAATTAATTGAAACATTAAACAAATAATCAACTACTATCTCTCATCCTATTTTTCTTCTCTTTCTTCTTTCTCTCTCTTACTTCTCTCTTCAGGTTCTTTTTCTTCTTCTTTCATGTTTTCTCTTTATTCTTCCTTTTTATTCTTCTTCTTCAAATATACATGCCTAAAGAATTAAAAAAAAAAATGATAAAAAAGATGTACATACAAAATTTATTTCAAAGTAGGCGGTCGAGCAATAAACACAAAAAAAAAAAAAACACACCTTATCATGTCTGTGAATCATATATGTGACAAGAGAAAAAAATGATGCTACAACCACAAAAAAAACAACATAACACCTATGAAACAACATAAAAACAAAATTATTTATAATTTTCATAACAAAAACAATTAAATGATATGACAAAAATATTTCTTTTTTAAAAAAAAAGATTGATGAATTGGTTATGTATCTACATAACAGTTAAATTAACTAAAAACAACAAAAGGTTTGTTATTGTAACTTAAAAATTAATGATGTATATTATGAAAAAAGAAACAAAATACGTATCAAGAAACAACAATAAAACAACTATCAAGCAACATGCAAATAACTATTTATAAACATTTTTTGCGTAATGTCACTCCCCTTCTCAAAACCGAACATTTCGTATTTGGAATATCATATATATTACTTAAATTCCCAACTGAGTGTATTAGAAGAATTAATCTAAGAAATCATATTGATCATGAAGATCTGAGCACAAGAATATAGAGCGGCGATAGAGAGAAAAAGTAGAGATCTGAAATATTAAGAGAGAATAATGAACGATAATGTACACCCAACCCTAAATACAACTATTTATACTAAACAATAAAATTGAAGTTGCTAATGGACTAAAACACACTTTTAACTCTAAGATAGCACTATAAGGGTAAAGAAGAAAATACAATGTAAAATTATCTAATCTATTACCCCCGCAAGAGGAGCATGGATATCAACTATGTTCATCTTGGAGAGCAGCAGCTGGAACTGAGAAGGTCCTAATGCCTTGGTGAACAAGTCTGCGAGTTGGTCTTCTGTGGAAATGTACTGTGACTGACCTTGCCTTGATTGATCTTGTCTCGGATTAGGTGGAAATCGGGTTCGATGTGCTTAGTTCTCTCGTGGAAAACGGGGTTATGTGCAATGGCAATAGCGGACTTACTAACTGAAAATATGCAAACAGCATAGGAGTGAGTAATATTTAAATTTGATAGTAAATATAGGAGCCATTGGGCCTCACAAGTGGCTGAGGCCAAGGCCCTATATTCAGATTTTGCTTTTTTGATTTCCAACAGATAGGAGAATTACCCAATAAGAACATAAAACCAGTGATATTTTTTCTAGTATCTATGCATGCAGCCCAATCACTGTCTGAAAAACCATGTAAAAGAAGTTCAGATGATCTAGGAAGAAGAATTCCTTTCCCAACAGTGCATTTAATGTACCTGAGAATCCTGTGAGCTGCAGCCATATGTGTTTCAGTAGGTTTGGACATGTGTTGGCTGAGAGCCTGCACACTATATGAAATATCTGGTCTGGTAATGGTTAGGTAAAGTAGCCTGGAAATTAACCTTCTGAAAGACTTCTCATCAGTGAGTTTAGAATTAGAACCATGAAGAGAAGTTAATTTTAAATTTGGATCATTTGGTGTTGTGGCAGGCTTACTTCCTAAGTAACCAGAATCAGATAATATGTCCAATGCATATTTTCTTTGACAAAGGTTGATTCCTTTGTCAGAATGAGCAACCTCAATGCCCAAAATGTACTTTAATTGACCAAGGTCCTTTATGGTAAAACATGCATCTAAGTGATTTTTAATTTCAGAAATTTTGTGGAGATTGTTCCCTGTGAGAATAATGTCATCAACATAAACCAATAGAGCAATAAAGCAGGTTTCAGTTTTTAAAATAAACAAGGAACAATCTGAAATGGACTATGTAAAGCCATAGTCAAGTAAGCAAGATGTCAATTTGTGAAACCATTGCCTAGAAGCCTGTTTTAAACCATATAGGCTCTTTGTCAATTTACATACTTTTAGTTTATCATCAGAATTGGTTATATAACCAGGAGGAGGGGTCATATAGACTTCCTCATCTAAATTACCTTGCAAAAATGCATTGTTGACATCTAACTGATGCACATGCCAGTGTTTGATGGATGCAACAGCAAGTAAAAGCCTAACTGTAGTTATTTTGGCTACAGGAGAAAAAGTGTCAAAGTAATCTATGTCTTCTTCTTGTGTGTAACCTTTTGCTACAAGTCTGGCTTTATAACTTTCTATTGTTCCATTAGATTTAAATTTGATTTTGAAAACCCATTTACAACCTATAGTATGCTTATCATGGGGAAGGTCTATTAAAATCCATGTGTTTGTGTTTTCAAGAGCAGTTAATTCCTTTTTCATGAAATCTTGCCAGAGAGGGTCAGTAACTGCTTGCTTGTATGTTTTGGGTTAAACAAGAGATAAAATAGATGCAATAAATGATGCATGGGATGTAGATAGATTATCAGTGGACAAGTAACTGCAGATAGGCCGATAAGGAGTATGAAAGGTGGATGTACCAAATTTGTCAACATGTGTTTCAGAGACAGTTATATTAGAAGAAGATGGTAAGGAGTGTTGATACACATTTAGATAGGAAGGAGGATTTTTGTTTCTTGTGAATTTTCTGAGTGGTTGGGTATTTGTATTTGTATTTGAAGTATGAGTTGGTGTTATTTGAATTGGAAGATCAATAGGTGGTTGTTGGTTATTTTGATCAGAAGGTGGAGAAACAGGTGTTGAGGGTTGTAAATGAGGTATAGTAGTTTGAGTGTTTGTGTTGGGAGCATGATCAAATATAAAGGAAGCAGGCTGGGGAAATAAGAATTCTGATTTTACATGAAGGCTTGAAGCCGGTGATACATGTATGACAATGGCAGTATGTGTGGCAACAGTAGCCTGTGTGGCAACTATGTTCATGTTCATATGATTATTATGTTGTCTGTGCTTATACTGAATTGATACATATATAGTAGGCTTTTACTACTAAGCATAGAGGATTTGCTCACCTCATTGTTTTTCAAGTTAAGCAGCTGGCGGCGCCATTGAGAGGACAGGCGTAGTCGTCATTTAATTATGTTTTCATGTTTCCGCAAAACTCGTTTCGAAAACTCGTTGTTGGTTTTGATATTTCATATTTTGAACTATGTCTTGGATATTCGAAACTTTGAATGTTTTGGAATGTTTCATTACTGATTCGAATGGTTGAAAGGAATGAAGATTTTGAGTAGTGCCGGAGAAAATGTTTATAATTATGAACATATATATAATTATATAATATATATATATATATATATATATATATATATATATATAGTAAACTGGTTTGACCACTTGTCCGATTAGTGAGCCATTGAGTCGGTAGCTTTACCGGTTCGATTTTTAAAACCTGATTTTGGGGTTGTAGGAGAGTGAGGATTTTTTGGAGAGGTGTTTTTTGCTTTTGATGGTACATGCATTGGTATGAATTCAGAATTGCACACAGTTATCATGTTTGTATTATTTTGGGTGCATGACTATTGAAGTTCTCATGTTTGTATTATTTTGAGTTGGTTAGCCAAACAGGGAATACTTTAAACGATAATTTTTCTACAGTTTGATGGATTAGTTGTCAAGTCCTTATCAATTACTACTATTTTTTTTTCTCATTTTTAATAATTCTCATGCTTATCGGTTTTCTCTTTGCATACAATTCCATAACAAATTATCAATACATCAAGAGACAAGAGACAAGACAATTATACACAAGAACATGGGATGTTTGCACAAACTTGCAACCGTTGTTAGTTTTATGTACAATTGTACACTATATTTATAAATAACAGAAAATGTTATGGTCCCATTGCGGTACCATATCGTTGAATTCACATGTAGTTAGATAAAATAGATGATCCAACGGTTAAAACACGCGACGGGATGGTACCGTAACGGGACCGTAGCATATCCCATAAATAACATACACTGTGATTTACAAAAAAAACTGGTAATTGGTTCAAATTTCGTTTCAAGAAGCTGTTAAAAGCGTCCAACTGCTTTTAGTAGAACATTATGGTTTTAATAAATATTAATTAAATTTATTATTTATATTATAATTAAAACTGTTTATTTATGTTAAAGGCCTCATGAAATAGTGACAGATAATTATTTCAAACAAGTGTGTATATATATATATATATATATATTCACTAGATGATGTATAAGTCTGTGGACTCCATTGGTAATCATACATTGAGTGGTATTAAAAAAATATACATCTTTTTCCATGATAGCTGAATTATATCAAATCCACCATATTTAATATGGTGAATCTAAAATATGGACCAACATAACATGAAACTTCAATTTTTATAGCTTGAATTGGATTGAGATTTAAGACCAAAAGCCAACCTCAAAGAGAACAAACAAAATCCCCGCTCGTCTCAACATCATCGTCTATATCAGCATCGGTGTCGATTTCATCGAGATCCATGCTCCCATCAAACAAATGGGCGTCCAATTTTGGGCCATCGCCCGGTTTTCGGGCCTCTTGTATTATAGAAAGAGCTTCTTCAATATTTTGAGAACAATAATCTTCTGCATTTTTCACTTGCATATTATTAGTTTCCTTGTCTACTTGTTCAAATTCGACCTTTGCGCCTTTTAGAAACCAAGGGTGCTTCTTAATTTCTGGGATGGTTATCCTCTGCAAATGCAAAAACAACAAATAAATTTGAAAATAACTAATTAGAAGAGAAATAATAATAATAAGATCAAATTGTTGACCTTTTCCGGGTCAGCTACGAATATTCGGGACAAGAGATGCTTGCATTCCTTGGAAACTCTAACATAATCCGGGATTGAATAGTGAACGCTGAGTATTCTCTGCAGAAAAATAAAAAAAAAACAAGGACAAAATCAATAATTTGTGCATGAACTAGACCGAAATCGACATCTCACAAGTCTTGATCTTACAACTTACATTGATTGTTTTCTTGAAATTTCTCGGGTCGTCAGGATCTTCAAATGGGTACGCGCCTACTAACATCACGTATAATGTGACCCCACATGACCAAACATCTGCAATCTTTAGGACCACAAAAGTGTTAAGATTATTATTGCTCGAAAATCATAAAGAAAGTATACTAAAGCAATTATTTTTATTACCTTGCCGTCATACTCTTTCCTTGATAAAACCTCCGGCGCAATATAAGCAGGTGTTCCCACAGTTGATTTCGGTTGAGAATGTAATACCGATGACTTGGAAAAAAATTTTAAAAAAAAAATGTAAAACAAAACATCAAGAATTACATCTTCTTTATAAAATGCATTTCAAGTAAAACTACCTTAGAGTAACCAAAGTCGCAAATTTTGAGGCGTGGCGTTGGGCTTCCGTCCAGCAACGTGTTTTCGAGCTTCAGATCTCTGTGGCAAATTTGCTGCATTTTTACCACATAAAAATAAAGTGCAAATCTAATTAGACAAATTTAGTTTAATCATCATGATGAATATATTAAAAATGAAACCAGAATTTGTCTCAGATTACCATGGAATGACAGTAACTGACTCCGGATATCAGCTGTTGAAAGAAAAACCTTGCCTAAAACGAACACACAGTTAAAAAAGTAAAAATAATGCAAAGATGTAAATGGCAACAACAAGGTAAATAATGGATCAAGTGATGAAAAAAAAAAAAAAAGAATTACCTCATCTTCACTAAATCTCCCGGCATTGCATATTCGTGCGAAAAGCTCACCGCCCGATGCATATTCCATTACTATGGCTAGATGAGTCGGGGTTAGCAAGACCTGTTAGAGCGGGAAACTACTCGATTGAGATAATTAATTAAATGGTAATCTATGACTTATCAGCTATAGAGATTAGAGGTAGAATATTCATAAGTGTAGTATTAGCTAATTGTTTCTTTAATATTAGTTAGGAATCAAGAGAAAAAATCAATACTTGGTTGACTCACAATAAAAACATTTGTACCAAAAACAGATTTTTGGTTATTTTTCTTTCAGTTCTGTTCATACCTAGGCCTGAATGGAAGCAAGATTTTGTTTCTTAACTCATATCAAACCTTAAAATGATCATCATAGTTCTTGCAAAGTCAACAAAATAAGCAAGAAAGAAGTCCCAAACAGAACAAGACATCATTTTCCATAATGTAAAAAAAAATAAAAATAAAAATAAAAATACAAATAAAAATAGAAATAAAATTATATATATTATGTTACCTCCTTGAATTTGATAATATTGGGGTGATTCAAAGATCTGTGGTTCATAATCTCCCTCTGCACATGCTCATCAATCTATACAAAAAAAAAAAAA